ACATCAGCAGTGTGAACTGACGTGTACACCTTCCCTATTAAATGTTACCTGGAAGAATTAGAAATTTGAAAAAAGAGAATTACTCATTTGCTACCTTTTCTATTTCGATAAAGTTGATGAATTTAGTTCATTTTGAGGTCAAACATATTATTTACATTTGGAATGAACGAATGATTTACAATTAGAGATTAAAATATTCCATCCATTTATCTTTCTTATAACGACCTTTCTCTTTGATTGTACTGCGACCGACCTCCATTTCTTTTTACCATTTTTTCCTCATCGGGTCACCATCCATTCTTACTGCATTTCAATAATTTATTTGAAATTTGAATTGAATTACTATAATACGCGAACATTTTGACCAGCAAATGAAATATGGGTAGATCGGCTGGTTACGGCAGAAGCACGGAACTGAATCTGCCATTATCACAAAAATTAAAACTGATTTAAAATCAAATCGTTTTTATACCTTTTTTTAGCAAGGAATGACAGCGCTCACAGATATTTTAGCATAAAAATTAAGTGTCAGATGAGATGATATTAGCAGAAATGACTCATTTCTCAAATGAATTCTCATTTCGATAGCTAGTGACCAAGCCTCATGAGAACAATATTTCGTGTGACGATGATCATATCTGTTCACGCTCTGCGGCTTACTGTAACACTACATTTGATTTCATTGTTTGTGCTTCACATATGAACTTCTCCGGCCGAAAGAAGCTGGAGTGCGGTCCATGACCTGCGCTAATAGACCAATTTTCGGTCTAGTTGCAGCTGGTAATAACTTTGGAAAAGAATTTTTCAGGCTAATTTATCTGTTATCGTAGCTTGAAGGGGCTGCAATAATTAGAGGTCGGAAAGTGGAGAAAGAAAAAAATAGTCATCTAAAAGGGCTGATACAGTGGATCAGATTAAAATGGGTCAGGAATGCAGAAGTTTCCTACTACGTTCAACTAATGTCTAAAAGTGGAGGTATATGGAATGAAGATTTTTCAAAGTAATTATTCTAGAAATTCAAATCAAAATATCAGTCACCTCATCTTTATTCATTTTTGGTTATGGCCTTCATCGTAGAAACAATTAGGGTAGCAAAATTTACTATAAAACGAACAATTCGAGGGGCAGAATTGCGGAATTATTTAATCCAGTGTGCAATGCATTGGACATCTTACAAAACAGAATTTTAACGTATCTTCTTGAAGTTAATCCTGAAATTAATACAACACTTAGTAACTGTATAGCATAAATAAAACTGCGTTAGGTATTCTGAAATGGTGTTGAGATGAAAGTATATTATTTATTAATAAATAATGTATATAACGGGTTATTTAATTTAGTCTTATCAAATCAACTGAACTTCTTTTCGGTCCGATTCAAGTTTGCATTTATCTTCAATTAATTCAATTCAAGTAAGTTTAATCCAGTCAAAATCAATTCCTCTTCCTTCCATCAATTTGTAATGGATTTGAACTTTGAAGAATGTCTTTCAATTTTGCCTTCACGTTTCCGTTACTTATTTTTTGTTCATTTCTATTACTCCCTTAAGTCCATCAGTCTTGCAACTAAGCTTTTCTTTGCTTTCATTTTCATTTCGTTCTACTCTTATCTTACTTTTCCCAAACTCATTCAAAGTTTGTAGCATATGAAATGTTCCAAATTGATTGACTATCAGTTTTCTGTTTTGCTGCTTTCTTGTTTTTTCCCTTATACAAACAAGTTATTTGCCGATCATTACTTCCTAAATAAATAAGCAGTTTAAGAACTTATTTAAAATTTGAGAATTATATACCTTCAAATCAAAACAGGTATTTACTGAGCAAGTGAATACCGATTAAGATTTCGGGAAACGATTTATCTTGGCAGACGAATTACTTTAAAAGAATTGATCTTCTCCTCTCTCTTATCAATTCGATTTTCAGCGATTAATTTTCTTCCCTTTGTTTGCTTCCACCAAATTATGTCGTTCATATTATGTTAACTCCTGATTTCTGTTTATATTTTTAGTTTTTGAAAATCATAAAGAAGTACTATGTACTTTTAATCCCAAATACTAATCATCCAGAATTGAGGGAAGACAGAAGACGTCACAGAAAGAACCTGAAAAGAAAATGATAATTCACTACCACAATCCTAGAAACAATCAAGGATGACAAAAGAATTTCTGTACAACCACTTACACTTACGGCTGAGAATTCTTCTTTCATTATTTAGTCTTATCTCTCTGTGCATTCCTTATCACTATCTCAATAGTCACTGCCAATGAGATTGTTGACCATTTCGCAAATTGACTCTCGTTTATATTTAATGTTTCAACGGGAAGTAAAGTTGCAAAAGTGCCGACAAAGCAATTTGCGGAAGTTTGCGCTTAAATGTTCAAAATAAGAATATTGTGAAGAAGGAGTGGGCGCGCAATTTTCTCTTTCAAGACAGCAGCATCTTTCTATTCTATTCTATTCATAATATGTTCTGGTGATATTGATGGCTGGTATTATATTTGGTGGTGCAGAAGGTGACATGTCCCATACATGTTTTTTCCGCTCCTTCCGGTTTCTTCTGTCACTGCATACTTGTCCAATGGAAACTTCAGGTTTGAATTGGAGTAACATAACATATATTCAGAGATGGCATCATCCCTCGTAGCACTATTCTCGCTTCAAGCCTTATTATTATTACTTTCCATAAATTCGGATACTATGAGTTAGTGAAGTTAAACAGTAAGGAGTTTTTTAAATAATAAATAAAAATGATAAAGGAGCTCAGATCGTGAAATTGTAGTATTATCTTGTAACCATAGAAATAATCAAACAATCGGAATGACCAACTGAAATGACTTGGGACGGCGATTCAACCAATAATAGCTATTTTGAAAGAGCGCAGCCAATATGTTTGATGCTATTTTCTCTTCGATGAAATTGTTGGCACATAGAAAGGCCGTCAAAGTTTTTTCTTTCAGTGCTCTGAGCAGTGACAACAAAGAAGAGCAATAATTAATCCATATTAATTAGATGTGTTAAAATTGTGAATTAATTGGTTAAGTGCCGGCTTCCGATCACTTCATTATATTATCGCAATTGTACACATCAATTGCAATTGAACATTTATTCATTAACATTTATTCAATTGCAGTTGAACATTTATTCATTTATTCAAAATCTAAGATTTTTTGTCTTCAGTTGTTGGTTCTACAGTTGTTTCTTTATTGGAAGTTTGATGCCATTCAAGCAAAGTGGTTTCATGTGAGAAATACAACCGGAAATATGTTTCCGGAAGTAATTTCACATTATCATTCTGTTCTGTTTATTCATCCACAATGCCAGCCCATTCGGTTTATTTCATCTAACAAGTGATTTGACAATAATGCTTGAAGTTTCTTCTTAAAACTAATAATTAGAAAATGGAAGCAACCAGATTTGTGGGCACTTTTTATAAAATCAAAGCTCGAATCGATAACTTTGTTCTCATATATAATTTAAATACTTTTACAAACATAAAGGCTTTTTTTTTCGTCCTTTCTGCTAACTGATACATTGACTTCTATAAGATATACTTTATAATCTACACTAAGTGAATCTCATTTATCTCAGTTAAATCAGATCAGCGCTTAAATTAATTAGTCATTGTCATGAAAAGTGAATTAGTTTGCATATGTGCTTGAATTTGGATCATTTGCAGTCTTTTCAGATTGAAAGTTCAGAATATGCTCTCATCAAATGTATTAGACAAACAGAAAAAAAAAAAAATTGAGAAAAGGTTGTTGCCAAAAGAATTCAAAAATGATTTCCAAATCAGAATTCTTCTGCTGTTTCCGAGATTCTATGATATGAAATCTAGGCAATCTCGCTGTATAATTTCTGCCCCTTATCATCTGTGTAATTCCTGCACCTTGTCACAATAGTATGTTATTTTCGCGAAACTTATATCATAATTGAAAAAACCGTTCCGATACTACTAGTTCTCGAATATTTACTTCTTAAACAAACATATAAAAAAGAAAGACGGACAAAATTTTAAAATACATAAATTTCAGAACTTTATTTGGTAGCATGGCTTAGATTTGTGAACGGCGGTTAGTGAATTAAAATGAATCGTTTTTGAAATAGTTTCGGAAATAGAAAGGATGACAGAAAAGTCTTAGCAAAGATTGATATTCAAAAAGTGGATCTCAAGTATTGTAAACAGAGAGTTGTACTACTTTTAATGTTCCTTCTCTTTATACTTCTTCCTCATTTGCATTAAAGTTTTCATTTAATTGTATCATTAATAATGACTGAACTAAATGATTCCAAATTCATTTCCACTTCTCTGACCCCTTATATCAGGATAGTATGGGGAATATTTTCGCAAAATTTTGATACGTTTGTTGATTTTGTTTGCTTCTTCTAGCTTCATGTTACTAACAAAGGTATAGGATTCTCATCTTAGAATCCAACTCTGGAAATCCAAACCAATAGGTGTAAAAACTTTTAATTATTAACGTAATCATTTGTCGCCCTAACGGAACGTACGTCGCGATCGCAATAAAAGCAACTTGCCCCTGAAATTGTAAAATATCTTCATTTTTAAATTCCGTTCCTCTAACAAAAGCAGATATACGTAGTGAAGTTATGTGTTCCAATCTCAAGTCGCTTCTGAGAGACTGATCTTGACTGGATTTGGTAACATTAACAGGATTGATAGAATTTAGCATAAGCAAAAGGGCATATCACAGCTAGTTGGAAACAACTTTAATATGTCCGTTTACTTATACTAACTTTCTACTTATATCCTTTCCTCATATTTCTTAGAAATTTTGTGAGATTTCAAGTTTTGACAAAATTTTTAATTGCTAAGGCGCTCTTTTGATGACTGCAGAGAATCTTAATTAGCTAATTAATTCTTATTTGTCGAGAAATGATGCATATCATTTCAATCGTTTTTAAAACCCATAAAATCTAAATATACTTATTCGCTCAGATTTAAACAATATTTTAGGCAGTGTGCAAAATCCCACAGCAATAATGATGAAAGTACCGCCAAATCCACCACCAAAACCAAGGATGAATCAGTTGCAGTACCGACACGGTCTTTCAAGAAGCATTGCTGGTAATGTTAGACTTCAGAACTTACCCTAAATTGTCGCGTACTTGTTTATTGCTATTGCTAACAAACATTCTCTCTACGTCATCTAATCACCTGAAAGTCGTAGGAGATCCATTTTAGACTGAGAAATAGTATAAAAATATGAACTGGAAGATGGCACTCAATTTGATAGCTATGGAAACACTTGTAGTTAGTTAAATATCATAACAAAATGAAGCTGATGGTGTTGATCCGGAAAACAGGGCTTCAATTTATCCTACTATGGATTGATAGAAATGACACTTCCAAAAGCAAAAGAGTAAGGCAAACAATGACATGTTGGCATCAGGTAGTCGTATCAAGAATTAAGATACGAACAGGAGAAAAGGATCGGTGTGAGGGTTGTTTCGTCTCTTAGGCTTCTTTTCATTTAGTCTCCTTTTCCAGTCGTATCCGTTCCGTTCCTTTAATTTCATCATTCTGTCTCTCCCTCTTCTTTTCCCCTCTCCTACTTTCCTTCCTACTACATTCTGCCTCGTTTTTCCATAATTGAGGAATATTTGTCGAACAATTGCAACAAATTTGAGAATGAATTTCAGTGTTATTTTGAACGGTTGAATGTATTTAAAATGTGCGTCAGTTTCTTGATTGAATGAATCATCTATGATCATTGAATCTTTACCGCATTGATTTCTTGAATAGAAAAGAGATGGTACTCCGGTTGCTGGAACGTAAATTAGATGAATAGTTAAGATGGCCTAGGTTTACATTCGATTCGCTCAGGAAAAGTTCAGCTCTAACAGGAAGCAGAAAAACTGTTTGCATCTTGCGATGGAATACTAATTCACAGGCATTAATGTAGTGAAATTCCAATACAAATTAACATCACTATAAATTAATATAAATTACCTTTAGCAAAATGATTTATAGGTGGTGGCCAATTACCTCCGCAGCCAGGAGATAGTGATACGGATTCAGGTATATGCGCCGACTCGGACAATCAATTATCACCACGGCATATCAATTCAGGGTTTTTTGATAATAAATCGAAAAAGCTACGACGTAAATTTGATATGCCCGTGTATCGCGAGTATTTAACACCAAAAACTGCGTGGTATGATCTACTTGTGCGCAAATGTGTGAAGTTGTAACTGTATCTATTTGCTAAATCATTTGGCTCATGAAATTTACTACTCCATTAGACTCTCGATAAGTCATAATTTTATAAGAAAATAACCGCTTATGACTAATACTTTGATTTTTATAAACTTCCGAATGGGAAAACTTTCATTGTTTGACGTGTGGAAGATTTTAAAGTATTGGAAGGAAAAGCAACAAATGAATAATGTAATGAAAACAAAGATATTGGAGATGAAGGGAAGGAGTTATCGTTAGAATTAAATCAAATAGTAAAGCTAATAAACTAAAGAAGTGGTCAAGAGAAATATCTCTTTATCAGAGTAATTTCTCAGTGAGACTGCTACTTCCGGTCACCATCACTATTTGCTGGTATTGCTATTAAAATGGCTTCTGAAAGAATACCGGGCGATCGATCAGTTTAGTTGCCCTGTTGGTATTGCGTTGACGGATGAGGAAATCATTATTTTATTTTGCATTCCTCCTTGCCACCAGTGCTACTACTAATTGAACAGTTTTGTTTGTAGCTGGACAAGAACATATGATAGTGTCATTCATACTGTCACTGCTATTCACATTTCTCATAACAAATTCTCTTCCTCGTAGATTTGTCCAAGCAATATTTGTAGGAGGAACATGTGTTTTGGCATATATTGGATTAATTAAATCTAATTGTTTTTTAGGGGAGTGCACACAAATTTATCTGCACTCCCGTACCAAAAATGTTTACCGGAAAGACTGCAAACGAACCGCAATAGCCAAACATCAAGGAACGGAAAACAACACCGAGTTCGATTTGCAGATCAGGTACCTGCAGTCCTCGCTTATTCTTTGTTCCGATTCAAATTTAGCTATTACAAAAATTACGGTGTAGCTGTCTCAACTCGAAATATAGCGGAAATAAATTTTACAGAAGACTTCCAAACAAAGTTGCGAATTAGGTCGAGATATGACTCAGAAGTAGAGAAATGGGGAAGGACTTGTTTCAAAGATTAAAGAGCGAATGAAGAACACAACTTGAAGACGGAGACAGATAACTAGCACTGTCCATGCTATGTAACTGTGTTCAGGACCAAAGTTTCGAGATTTCAGTGTCTTCAGGTCCTTAGTCCAAATTTATGCTCAGGAATTGAAGCGATTTGTTTACTAATTATCTCCATTATAATTATTACTGGAAGGTGTTATCAATGGATGGTAGTTCCTTGTCCTCTTCATCCGGCTGCGATAATATCAACCTGGTAGCTGTTAATAGTTGCGCTAATTATTCTGGCTGTTTTCTTCATTATCCGAGCATGGAGACAGCGATACTGACATCACCAGTGTCTTCGAATAATCCTGATCTGGTACTACCCGCAGTCGTTAGCAGGAGCAACAGTGGTACCATCAATAAGCTTTCAGGCCAACATCATGCCATCGACTACCAATTCAATTTCGGTATTCATTTGAAGTAGTAAAATTTGTTAAATAATATGAATGCTTGGGTTCAAATTTTTTGATCCGAAATCGAACCAGATTTTTCTCATTTTTATCAAATTAAGTAGCTCTTTGTTTTTTCATGTCAAGGACAGAAACAAATAAATGCACTAAACTAAATTCGCAAATAGAATCCGGATTCAGTCACTTTCGAATTTACCGGAAATATTGTTGATATCTAACATAAGTGTCACATTGTCTGGATATTCCCTTATGTGTTTCAAGAAATTTCAAAAGGAGACAGCACTCGATTTATTTTAGTAATTTCAGTACTTGAGTTTTTCAGTACGAGAGAGAGAAAATACCACATGACTAGTGTGCGGTACCGTCTAATACGTTTGCAGGTTACAGTAGTCACGTGCAGTCGAGTTATGACGAGGACGATCGAACTTTGCCAGGTTATTCTGCACCCATGACAAGACTTATACGTAATGATAACCAATGCATCACTCATCCAAACGTATCGTTTTGAATTATCTTGCCCTAAAATAATTCTTAATGAAAGTAGTTTTTTGAAACTACTTCTAACAGCAACATTTTCTTTTGAAATCGTTGCTTGTTTTGAACAGATAATTAAATAAAGAAATCTGTGACATATCAATCCTGAATAGTTAAAGCTGCGACATTTAGTAAAATTATAGGAAATATGAAAATATTTATGTCTATTCTCAAACGCATATAGCCATGAATTCTCTTACAACATTTGCATTGACTGAGTTGACATCTCCAATGTAAGTGACACCAAATAGCTTTTCAAATGAAATTGCTGTGCTACAAATAGCGTTTTTTTTTTCTTTTTGCAAATAACAAAAAACATTGCACTGCAATAGCATTTTATTTGGAGCTCTTTTTAAGCAAAGAATTTAAATTATAAAAAGCACAGTGTGTTAGAATCTGCTTCGCCCCTTAAACTTTCTTTCAGGAATCATCTTATCGAGTAATGCGACGTTTCCGTAATCGTTCGGCATCATTACCGCGTGGTATGCATTGTGAATCGTCGGCTCTAGAGATGCGCCGTGGATCCATTGACTGTTGTTATCCACCCCAGAGCTACTCATCATATAAGGTGATGAGTTAAATAATGATTGGCAAAAGTAGTCATCGAGATTACTTTGCATCAGGTTGAAGATGATTATTTAACAATTTCGTCAATTGATTTGGCTCACATTAAATATTCAGACAGCATACTGTAAATTTGTTTTGCTAATTGGGCACTATCCGACAGTTGCTAAAGCAGTGATGGCAAGATATAATTTCGGAATTTCAAGTGGTCTGAAATTATTTTCTAATGCAATAAATCAGGAAATGCAGCATTAGAAAAAGATAGAATAAAATAAATGAATTAGTATTTCTCATTGTTAACATACCAAGAATGTTCAATTGTATCATAAAAACATACATATTGTACAAGGACTGATTTTATTGAATACCTGGACCATTTCAAGTTTGGGCGAGCCAGTTAATTAGTTAATATGGGATGCAACTGAGACTGAATTAATTGAGCTGACCTGTCAACTACTCTAACAAAAGGAGTAGCTCAGGTAGCACAAGCGGAGTAGGTGAAAGGATAGAGGGCTACATGAGTATTGGTTGATAGTTGAAGAAAATAAAGTTAAGAGATTCATTTTTTTGTCTTCGTATTACATCCTTCTTCTTAGTAAGATCCGTATCAGATGACAACTTTGATTCCGAAATTGAACTGAAACAGAGTTGTTTACATAAGGTTGTTTTTGTTGCAGTCAAAAGATGAAGCTACCATTAATAATTCTTACCTGATGCGTAGCGTTGATAATCTTAGTGTTATGGAGAGAGGTCATGATTCGGTTATGGATGGCACGCGCTTGAGCAGCGGATGTCGCCTTCCGGATTTGTCGCTCGATTGCACTGTGTATGATGGAGCTACTCAGCAGCAGCCTATCTTTGGTAGACAAAGGTTTGCATTTCACTTCTTAAATTTTGTAGGAATTGGCATGCACAAACCAAATCTTCCACTTTCTTCATAACTGGATCAGGTTAAAAATGTTCCTCGATAACAGGGAAATAATGAAGTTCTAAATAAAAGCTGAGATCCCGAAAATGGTGAAAGAATCCAACGAATTCTTAGGCCTTCTGAGCTGGAACATGTTTCGTAGATGAACTCTGAAAATTTCTCGAAAATGAAGTGAAGTGAACTTCAGCATTACAGGAGGGTACGAAGAGTTAGCGGTCGTTCACAGAGTGTTGGTCGGGCGTATTGCGCATTCGATTCTAAAATGGCCAACAGCTATATGAATAGCTGCGTTCCTTTATTTCATCGGTATTTTCATCTTTTTTCTTAGTTTTTTTTTTTTTCATGAATGACCTCTCGTAAGTGCTTCTGACTAGTAAGCACCAGAACATGTAGTTTAAGAAAGTAGTAAGTTTGATGGCTAATTTGAATATCACGGTAAGTGCTCGAAAATAAATATAGACCATCAATCTCTCTTATCCTGCAGGTCACATTTACCGACTGTTCGAGCCCAGTTAATTGCTCTCGATCACAGAGGCTTGCGAATTGTCCTAATTGAAAAGCTTCAGCCAGGTCCATTCGGTTTTTATATCGCTACTGGAATATTTAACCAAAAACATGGTATGTTTTTTCTTCAGTGCGGCGGTACACCAATAATCTCTCTAGTTAAATCCTCTAGTCAAATACTAGAAGATTGTTAACTTGTTGATTTTAAAAGCATGTTTCACAGCTGGTATAAAGAAAACTTTAAAGAACAGAAAGCTAATCCAGTAAAACCCGAACAGCCAAATCGTTACTGAAAGTTCAGATCTGTCCACAAATCTCGAGTTTTTTCAGGAATCTTCGTTTCCCGGGTATCATTACCTTCATTGACATCGGTACTATCGGTGGGTGATGAGATTATCTATGTGGAAGACGAACTGGTTAAAGGTGAAGATCTAGAATATGTTCAGGCGTTAATTGCTGGCAAGAGTAGTGTGAAGATAGTTCTTTTACCGATAGTCGGACCAGGTGCTTGTTGACATACCATTTTCTTTTTTCTGAACCACCTATGTTTGCTGAACAAATAAGATTGCATGCTTAAACATCAAACAAATTTACCCAGCTTCAGTTTCTAATAAATACTTTCTATGGGTATAATTATTATTTTATATTCGGTTATTTTGCACTGAAATTGTTCTGCTAATGAAAACAGATATCAGACGGCACACTACTCGGACACGCACACTCACATCTCATTGATCCGTATTGCTTGATCAACTAACTATTCTTGATCGTTCTTGTCATCTCACCAACTACTGTTTGCTCCATCGCGATTTGTTCTCTCAAATTTCATTGAAATTGCTAGTGGCTATAATGCTATCCCCAATAATAAACTGTTGTAAAGTCTAGTCGTGGATCATTTTGTTAAAATTTCCAGAAATAGTTATAATGAGCAGAGACAGAAATTTCTTCGGCAAAAGCTCAGCACTTTTCTCTCCAGTCTATTCCAGAACTTGCGAGACTAGCAAATTATATCGAGTCAGGTTTGACTTTACAGAAGGAGTTGAAACTGTCGTTCATTCAGCACACCTCTCTACACGACAATACTTGATATAAGTGACTGGATAGCTTTCCGGGAATTATTTTTAATGTAGAACTTAAACAATCTCGCAACTGGTCCTACTCGTCTAGTATTTTAACGACTTTAAATTTTATCTGTATTAAGCTACTGAAATTCCATTATACGTCACAGACATTTCTCATATGCAATAATGTAAATATTCATTAAAGTTAGATTGTTCAGCATACTTCCTTCCTCCAAAGAAAACTGATACTTTTTACTATGTCGTCGACAGATTGTACAAAACCATTAAGTCTATCCAAATGTCCTTACTTTCAGTTGTTTAGTCCATCTTTCTTTTTTTAAAATAACCATAGGTTTTTTTTTTTTTTTTTTGTTTATACATAGCGAGCATTTCCGATTAACAAGATTTGTAAAAGGAAACAGTTACAAAAATTAAACTGGAAAACACTGTACGAAAAGAAAAATTGAAAATCAACGAAAAAGACAGCGCCAATTTCTGGTATACACAATATGGATAAGCTTATTGTGAAATAAAAAATATATCATTTTCTTTTTGGAAATTAGGCGATAATCGGGAATAAATACACTTTATGCGACTATTTGCAATCTTGTATCTGTAACTTTATTCTTTAACCCACTTAACAAAGAACTTTACTGTAAATCACAAAATTTAGCGTCCCATTTATTTTATGTTATTGATAGTTTCATTGATTGCTTTCGCAACGTATTCAACATTTTCTGGATTTAATCCACAAACATTTATTCGTCCATTCTTCAGCAGAAACACTTTGTACTTCTTGATAAGGTGATCAACTTGTTCCGCTGGAAAATCAGAAACAATAAGACACATTTTGTGTACTTTTTTACTTCCTCATGACAGCCATACCCTAATTCCATGTACTGGCTTCAAGAATGAAACACAAAGTTCTCGCTGGCCCCTTTTTCCCTTTTCTCTCTTTTGCCCAAATATTCATCATTTCCATATGTCCTCATCCATTTATATACAAAGATAAACGCACTATTAAGACCAATAAATGAAAACATTCCAATTTGCTGTGTAATATGCTCCCATATTCCAGGAGTACCAAGCTTTTCCAGATTGTTTCGCAATGCATATCGCATATCCTTTATGCGCGAAGACATCGTCTAGAAAAACAGTATAATTACGATATTACCACTCATCACTAAGTAGAGAAATCATACTCTAGACCCATAAGACTTCAATTACCACAAACAACCTGCTAGTAGGTAGGAGAAGATGTGATATTTATCCATTCTTTTAGTTCGAGATATAAACATGCTTACGATCGCAACTTCCATCTGGATAAGGTAGATATCCTTTTTAATACAAAGATGACAATGGCATCACTTTTAAAATTCCAGTTTCATTTCCATTACTGTATAGCTGTCCATTAATCCATGAACAACCCATCTTTTAATGCCTATTCATTCAGATCCACCATACCTGCAACAACAAAAATTAGTAACAAATAACTAACCTTTATAGCATCATGCCACTGAGCGCACATACTTGGCGAAGTTAATATCATGTGCACAATTCTTGCCCCATGACTGGGAGGATTAGACCAATTAGATCGAATAACCAATGACATCTGTGATTTAATACTTGCTAGTGCCAATGGATCCGATGCTACAACTGTTAGATTACCAACTCGTTCATCTGAAAACATCATTTGTTAGAAATATTGTAAAATTACAATTCTCTTATAATTCATCTTGTAACAATTGAGAATCTTACAATTGTATATTTTAGACTGAAAAAAAACGGTCAACTTTGTCCGGTTAAATCCTGAATAAGTTTTGTATAGCGAATTATTGCGTCGGAACAGTTTGTCTAGGATGATATGCATTATCATGATCATTAAAACTGTAATATTAACGTATGGATGTTATAACATTTTAACGGCGTCCAAATTTCAACTGATCATATAATTAATGATTACAAAAAATTTACTATAAAGGCCAAAATTCTTAGCAAATGACTGCGCACAAAACATCTCCAATCCTTGCTCAACAAAATATCGCACAGCCCAGGCATCCGCGTCCAGATCACCACTTGCAAAACCTTGATAAGCAAGATCGAAGAAAGGAAATAGATGCCTCCTCTTAAAGAGAAAAAAGCAAACAGTATGAAATAGGACATCTCGGATTTATTGAATCACCGCAGTTAGAAGAAAATAACTGAAATGTCTGGTAGAGAGGAAGAAAGAAAAAATATCTTTTAATTCTAACACATGCCTTAAAAACTTCTGCAATCTGTTTCCACTGGTCACGAGTCGGATCCATACCCGTTGGATTATGAGCACAACCATGCAAAACCACTACAGCACTAAAACAAAAAGCACACAACTTTATTATAACATATTTAAAACCATTAATAGCTTTTTAAATTCTTTCAGTGCGTAGCTCGAGAGCTTAACGCCCGCACCTTTTCTCTAACCTGTGTTCCTTATTCAGTAGCATTGTTATAGAGTTTAAACGTCAAACAATAGTAGACAAAAATGACATGAAATAAAGGGAGAAAAAAATACTAGACAAAAGAACACTTACTTCTCAGGTGCAGTCTCAAGATCGGCCAACATATTTTTCATATTAATACAACGATTTGTTGAATCCCAGTAATAATATTCACGTATATCCGTAAAACCAGCTCTTGCAAATATCAATTTATGATTGCCCCTGAAAATTCTAACAAATAAGAAAATAATATATATAAAATATATTAATTACTGCTTTGAACTTTGAATAAAAGCAGTACGAAAAAGACTGCAATAAAAAACTCGCTGTAGTAATCATTGTCAAGGTTTAGCTATAGGACTTAAAACAGAGAAACTTTTCACATCCGTCTAGAAGTAAAGATAGTAAACCCCACAAACAACGTATATCTATAGCAAAGAGAAATCTTCTTTGTTTATCATCTTTCTTATTTAGCAGAGTAATATTAATCAACTCTTAGGTCTAAAAAATAAGGCTAAAAAAATTCATATATTTTGGACATGTTCTTCCTCAGCAACTCTAATAGACTAAGAAACGATTCTTCCTGTCAGTAACAAACTTACCAAGTAGGTTTGGAAACATAAACCGTTTCCATTTTCATGACAAAACTGAGAAAATCGGCTCCCGCTTTTAGTGAACCCGTTCCGGAAAGACACTGCACACCTATGGCCTGAAATTTTCCATGAAAAGAAAAGTGGAAGAGGCAAAGGTTATCAGTTATTTCCAACTGAAGTATTCTTGCTTGGTACTCAAAAATGTGTACTTTTGTAATCTTCCCTGTTTCCGCGCACATTTTTCTCTTCAAGAGCATGTACTCAGCTCAGTACGATTTCAAATTCTTAAATTACAAACTTTTCCAGCTCTGATAGTCGATGAATCCTTCCCAAGAACTAGTTCCACTGCCGCATTACAGAATGGTTCATAGCCAAGCACTGGTAAATATTCATGGCTAATATCATCTGCAAGTCGTTTCTCTGCTTCACGTACCACAGGTAATACCCACGGTTGACCTTCTTCCGTACGATATGCTTTAAAAGGAAAAAATAAGTATAAAATACTAATATGATAAAAAACAATGGAAGTTATCCATAAAACTTGATATCCCAAATAACCTTTCAAACAATGACGTGTTTTTTTTTTCTTGAAGTGAAGTTTAACACACCTCCAACGGTTAAGTTAACTTTATACTCCGCTGGTTCCTCATGATACATTCTGTTCATATAAAAAACTTCAATAGGAGATGCAACCTCGATGTTCCCGAAGAAAGACGCCATTTTTGTATTCCTACAAAACTAAGGGATGTCATATTTGTAAAATCGAAAAGCAACAGAAAAAAGCGCCTTACAGCAGCATTTGCATATATATTGAATTAAAATAAAGGAACACAGTAAGTCCGTATTAATACACTGTCCGCTCTCCAACAGTACTGTACATTGACCCCCAATAAATGAGAAATTTTAGGAATGAGAAATGTTTGTTATATTTGTGGTCAAACAGATTTACACCAAAGCAAGTAGTCTGATAGCAGATCAGATGACCACTGCGAAACCAGACCCCCACCCGCTATTTCATTGAGAAACAGATGATTCAAAAGAATTGAATTCGTCCTTTCCGATAAATGGTAAATCACGGGCTGCGGTCAGTGAGAGCAGCAAATCCGAAATATTAGATGCAAAAGTGAGAGGTCCCCAGCAAAAACGAGGAATTTTAAAAGTGAGAAATGGTTGTGTTATTTGTGATGCCTGAAGCCTGAAGCTTTAATTCTTACGGGAAAGAAAACTCGACATTTAAGCTTGGGACTGTTAAGCATGGAACTTTCCTTCATGAGGCAAATTAACATATATTCCCACTATTCGATACTGAGTGAATGATAAAGCAAAAGCGAAGCACCTGTAATGGGAAAGTAGGATGACACGAGTGACAAACACAGCTACCAAT